AGGTCTCTGCTACTGTTGTTTTGTGGGTCAAAAGTTGAAAACTTTGGGAACCACTGCACTTTGGTTCCCAAAGTTGGGCTTGGGACCCAATTATGGGTCATGAAGCACCTTGGATAATCTCCAGAAACCAATTTAAAGGGTAATAAAATAATTGCTGCTGTAATATTTTTCCTATAATTATTACAAAAACACAAAATAAGTAAAAATAAGTATTTACAGTATATGTGTGTACAAGCTGTTTAGATTGTCAAAAAGCCTGTGTTTTAGGGTTATTAACAGAGTTTGTGTACTCAGACCAGTTATATTTGGGGTCACAAGGTTTTGCAATGGATATTTTGGGTCAGAAGACAAAAAGTTTGGGAACCACTGAGCTACAAGATGTCGACTCAGTCATTACGTATTAAAAATTTATTTAGTAAATTTAATTTAATTTAAATTTTAATGAATTTAAATTTATTAAAGTATGTTCAGTGAGTCATAAAACAATTTTCTAATTAGATTTAAAAAATACACAAAGTAACATACGTGGGCAACAAACATTATTCCTTTTTTGTCTTTCTCAGATAACAAAAGAAACATTCCTATGCCAAGACAAAATTGTGATTGATGTGGCCAAATTAAGTTTATTCCTCTTTTGATTCATCAAAGACTAAATGAGGGATGAACATGTGATTGTAGAGAAGAAAAGAAGTAAGGTCAAGCATGAAAAGCACCTGGACAGAAATGTGCTTCTGACCTGGGAAGCTTTGGGATGAATCCAGAAGCAGAGCTATCACAGATGTGGGCCTATCTGCTTGTGTCCCCTGGGTCCTTTACCTTTGCTCTCTGCTGTGCTCCCCTGTAGCCTACTTTTCAAAGTGGAGCCGGGCAGGCCTACATTCAGCATCTCTTTGTGCTGGATACGTTAGTCTGTTGTCCTCTGTCCACAGCCGCTATCAAGAACACTCTTTCTTCCACTCCAGGCTTCCTACACGTCCTAACTATCAGCTCCCCAGAAAAGAAGCTCCTAGCTGCAGAAGAGTTTGGATGACACATCGTTGAGTGCCAGGCTCAGACAGTTGACATTGCTGTGTTATCGTCATTACCCTCACTTCTGCTTCTCAAGTAGAGTCACAGGGTTGTTCAAGCACCAAGCAATAAACGCTTCTAAATTACAATTTCAGTGTTCAACCCTCATCATCTGATGAAGAGTGTATTATTAGCAAAGCTCCAAAGATGAGAGATGGCAGTGATAACAAGCAGCTTCACCTCAATTATAACAAGACCAAATCAGTTTAAATGCTGTTTATTTCTCAGATCTGAGTTCTTTTAAAATAATAAATTATATGAAAGAGCATACGTGACAAGTTGTTTTGAAGGAATAACTCATCAGTCTTTTAAGTATTAAAAAACCAACATGAGATGTTTAACAAAATCAACGTTTATTATGTAAACTGTATGTCTATTTAGTTACACTCTTTTTAACTAATGGCTAATGTAATGTGCAAAATGTTGTTTGGAAATGATTTAACCGCAGGTTGCTGAGAATGCTGCTGAACTAACAAGAACTATATGAACCAAAAATAATCTATTGAGAGGAGATAAAAGAGGTAATGAGTGGTCTCTTCCATGATGTCTTTAGTCCCTGTGGGAAACCCCCTCACTCACTGGGTCATGTTRAAATTTAATGCAGATAGGTCTCAGATGGGATTTGAATCCAGAACCTTCTTGCTGTGAGGTAACAGAGCGAACCACCTCCACACTCTGAACCCCAATGTCCCTGATCCCATTTTGTAAACCTGGCTCCTGATACTCAGCCTTTGATAATTTTATACATCTCTAATGACTTGCTGATGTGGAGTTGTTGGGACTCTCAACATACTTTATAGAGAAACTCACTTCATGAAAAGGGGTTTTGGGTCCCAATTTTGTGGATGTTTGTATTTCTTAGATTTGTTTTTTAAAGAACCATTACATGTTTTAAGTTTTATTTATTACAGCTCTCTGTGCACATGAAGTATGTTGGTTGGCAGAACACAAAAATGAAGTGAACTAAGCTGCAGCCAGACAAAAAGCTGAGAAAAAAAACAATTGTATATATATATTGTAGTGTCTCTTTCTGGTCCCTGGTTCCGTTTCGGTTCGGTTCGGCTCCGTCAGCTGCTCGACCCTTCTCGTCTCTCTTTGTCTGCTCCGTCTGCTGCTGCCTTTGGGGCTGCTTCAGCTSGTTCGGCTGGCTGCTGCTTGCTTCTGGGTCGATGAAAACCAGTGGACTTTCTCCTGAAGACTTGTCACATGTCAATAAACTCTAYTCTAACATTTGAATAACGAAGAGACTATTTCTTCAGTTCTGGACATGTTTATTCAGCGAGAGACACTAAAAGCTTCCACACAGCTAATATGTTACTCTGACTCTTTTCCCCAAGAAAGCGCGTGCCCGCCTTCATGCGCGCCCGCCTTCATGCGCGCCCGCCTTCAT